GGATGTTTTGTGCTTGCAGTGTGAATTGATGTTTTATATTAATATTTTGGGAGGCCACAACTGTCTAAAAGCCTTAGGATATAAATGTTTCAAATTAACAAAACAGCATGGCATGATGGGGATTGCTGTTCAGGGTGGGGAAAAATCTCACTGGAAACTAATGTTGTCACAAACTCTGGTCATATCCAGTGAAGCACTTTGGATTCTGGGCACTGTACACAAGAGTTTGAAACTGGCTTAATACTGGATGAGATGGTTAAAAAATGATGTAAACACATAAGTCTATTGATTACAATGCATTTTTAAAAAAAACACCAGTGTGTGTTTCACTGCTTTATCTTATTAGCTTATTTATTTGTTCATAATGTACAATAATAAGTTATATATACAGAATTACACAAAATTGTTACAATAAAAAAGTATTTTTGGTGAGAAATGAAAAATTAGACCTGCTTTATTATTATTATTATATTTTATAACATGATAAAAAGCTTCTCTGTGTGCTAAATGAAATAAAGCTAAATGCTCCTGTGTTCACATTGCTGCTCTTGATTTCCTGCCTTGATGTTTCCCAGGTCTTGATGAACAGAAATAATTACTACACAATTTTTTTTCTTTCTCTGTAAAGTAGAGGAACAGTCACTGACACACAGTAAATGACTACCTGACTTTTTAGTTGCAGAAACACATTCAAGGCCGACAATGAAGGTGGGAGAGAAGCACAGAACCACATCATAAACAACTGAAATTCCTGCGTATTTTCTTTTAATTTCACAATTCTATTCTGCCAGCAGAAAGAGATCTGTACTTGTGGATTTCCCCAACCAGTAGAACAAAGCAGGACTGAGGATCAAGATACGTATAATACTCAACACTGTTCATAAGATTACTATACTGCATTTATAAGTCCAACTGTATTACACTTCTGAATGATTATAAAACTGAAAGGAACAACGTCAGTTCCTGAGCATGGCAATGGTTGCATGGCCTTCTGCTACATGACCCATTTCTGGATCAGGGCCTGTGCAATCCAAAACACTGCTTCAGAATTTGCAAACACTATTCACCACACAAGGAGGAACCATTCTCATGCCCCATAGGGTCCAGAACTTCTATGCCTCCAGCAGAACACCAAAGCTGGACAGGAAGGAAAAGGGTTACTTAAAGCAGGGGTCCCCAACCCCCAGTCCATGGCCCAGTGTCAGTCCATGGCCTAGGCTGGATTGGGCCACAAAGACAGATCTCCCACCCACCCCGCACGCATTCCCCCCGCACAGCCCCTTTGCGCATGCATGAGTGTGTGTGTGTGCCCCCTGCGACAGTCCCCACGCATGCACGCAAGTGCACATGTGCTCCCCCAAACCACCCCGCCCCTTCGAGCACAGGGGGTGCCCCGCCTTCCCCACACATAGATCCTGGCCTCCCCCAACTGGTCCATGGTGTCAAAATGGTTGGGGACCACTGAAAAAGGATACAAAAAGCTGCACGGGGGAGGGGGGGGAGACCTGCCATCAAATTTTGTTTTTGCAAATGAATTACAGGTGATAAAGTTATTATTCAGAGGAAAACTGACATTTCAAAGATAGTAAAAAGAATTTTAACCTAGAGAATACAGGCCACCAGACTGGGCATCACATATAGACATATGCTAAATGAAAATATAAAATATTCATCACATAGACTCCATTAAGAGTAAAGTCTGTTTTCTATTATCATTTGATTGCAGCTGAAGAGATAAGGGGGGTAGCCATGGTTATTGTTTTCAGGAATACGAGCTATAGTTTTTTGCTCAGTCATGCAACTTGTGATTTTTTTTAAAAATGCTTGTAAAGCCATGGAATTTCTTTTAATAATAATAACTCACTAAAATCTGTCAACACAGTACTTTATGATGAACTGAACAGTAATTTAACAAACATGCTAATTAAACTACTACTGGCTCCTAAGCTCTGTAATTATGAGTTCACAAGGACTTCCTGCCAAGGAAAATAAGTTGTTTTTTTTAACCCAGGCACCAGTGGTGTGTTTCCACAGGATGCCAGTGCTGCCACAGTAATCACCCCCTGTCCCTTCTATAACACATCTGGCCCCCCAAAAACTCTGAAAGACTGGGAAATCCTTTGGAGCAGAATTTCGGCACCCCAGAGGGCTGCAGCAGGAGGGAGAAAAGGGAAATATTCCAGATACAAGAGCACCTCAATAGACCTTGGCCTTTGTTCATGAGTTTGCTTTAATTCAAAATCAAGAGCATAATCTAACCTTTCATAAGCACAAGGACCCCAATGAGAAGGAATTTTCTTAAGGATCAGGAGAGTTTATTTTCACTTTATCTCTCAGTGCACATATATGCATGTGCCTGTGAACAAACACTCCTCCATCTTATTCCTAACCTGGTCCAAGTACCCATTACTTGATTTCAGATGGAAGAGGAGGGATAATTTGCTCCTTTATACCACTTTCCTACTGACGGATTTTTTGTGCCATAAGTGTTAGAATGGACAATGTTCTACACCCAGTTGTTGCTGTATCCATTCCTGAAATCAAGCTTCTTCATGTTTCAGGCTCCCATAAGTGTTGCACCAATGCTGTACTTTTTTAAAAAAAGTGGGGGGGGGAGGAAAAGAATTACTATGAAGTTGCAGTGAGGAATTTAAACCAATGGGATTGCATCTAGCATTTCAAATGCTATCTTAATGCAGCTACTTCACATTTTTTGCACTGAGGTCCACTGAGCAATTATTGGCAATTATATATATATCTGAAGATTCTGATATATGTTCCGAAGGGAACAGTTAGTTCACAGAAGGCATAGATCAGGTGGATGATTTTCGTGACAACCCCACCTGAATTGTGAGCATACTCAGGCACATGTTTTAAATTCCCCTTCAGGTTCACATGCAAGGGGAAAACAAGTAATGGTGAACAAGTCAGCCCAGTGTACAAACATAATTTTTTAAAAATTACAAGAACAAGCTTACATGAGCTTTGGGTTCTTGTATGTATTCTGGGGACTGGAGCTAATTAAAATAAACCAAATCAAATAATGGCTTCTTATTCATATTTGTTAACTGATCAAAATTAGAACAAGCTTCAGTCCTCCAAATGATTCAAGTGCAGATTTCAGTCTTCTCAAGCAAAGAGGAGGATCATCTGGGTTCTTGAGATTCATTCCAGGTATTATCTTTGGGATCCTAAAATCTTGTTGCTTAGCATAATAAGTCACAATAGAGTAGGTGAGGATTCAGTGAGTCAACTCCTCCATAAGTTCCATTGATTCAAATAGGCCTACTCTAGTTCCAATTTATTATAAGTAAGTTGGTGGATTTGACTTCAGGCAGGTTCTTCCTTGGACCTTCAAGCTGGATCAAAGAAAAGAAAAGAAATCCTCGTTGGTCCCTCCTGGTTCCTCCCTCTTCCAACAGGAAGTTTTCTATTTTTTTTTTATTGTAAGGGATGCAGCACATCTGCACTGCCCTAAAATAGTCTTTAAAAAAACTTTATCTGCCCTTCCATAGAAGAGCAGAGGAAGTGTTTAATATGCCAATATCCTGAAGTGGCTCTCTCCTTAAGTCACTTGATGAGATTAGAAGTTCCAGTAGGAAGGGATTGGACCAAATAGGGTCACTTGAAGACCTGTTCACCATGAGGAGGTGAAGATCATGCCAATTGGCATACTAGACCCCATTTAGCTCACAGTAGCGCTCTTCAAAAGAGCCTGTATAGACAAGTCCTTTTTATGCTTAGCAACAGGATTCAGCCAAAGAGGCTTATTCTCATTGATTACTATCTTAACATTTCCTGTCATAAGAGGTCGACAGAGCAGTTATTTTGGTTAATATGGCTCATGAGTTCAAAGATTAATAAACAGTATATAAAAAACCTGTTTCTTTTGGATATGGTGAAAGTTTATGTCAACAGATACTAATATTTTAAAATACTCTCCCTAAATTTCTTTACATTCACCAGAGCTGGACTCAATGATCCATAGGGTCCATTCCAGCTCTGCAGTTCTAAGATTATTATTATTAAAATTGACTTTGGGGAAACACGTGCAAACAGCATTAATACATGCCTTATAATTTCCTGTCTTAGTAACAACCTAATTTGAAGCGTCTGTAAACACCTCCAGATAATTCTAGAATTCTAGGGCAGAGTTTTCCCCCAAATTAATGCATAAAAGATGGCCTTTAAAACCACAATTGTAAGTAAACTCTGCTAACATTACAATTAGCATAAATTTCCACTGGCACATATGACAACATTTCTGAAATGTCTATGTGGACCACACATATCAATAATTATTATTTGCTGAAATGTGAAGAAACTGAACAAATGTGGTTATTTTTGAGCCATCATAACTCAGCTAATAAAAGTCAGTATGACTCCAAAACAATTGGTGGATTTTTAAAAAATAATAATATATGTGTTGGTTGTTGTTGGTTTTTGGGCTGTTTGGCCATGTTCTGGATGTTTTTCTTCCTAACGAAAAGCCTACAACAACCATCAGATTCTGGCTGTGAAAGCCTTTGAGAATACAATATATGTGTTATCTGAGAGGAAAATGATAGTAAATGTTAGATGAAGCAGAAATGTCATATTTATCTTTATCTACCTGCCAACACTATCTCCGGTGGTAGCTAATTGTTGAGGATCATAACAAAAGAAGGCCAAAGCAATTAAGTTAGATTTCTTCAAAGCAAGCAATGATACTGGTAGGCGGATCAATATCTATGCCTGTAAATGGAGTTGGAAATGAGCAGTAATATCTTATATTAGCCAACTGGTCATAGTCAGCCTCATTCAAGAGGTTTTCTGGTTGAGCTGCTTGAATTTGTCTGTGATAACCAAAGCAAGCATTGACTCGTTACAATCCTGGAACAACAGCAAATGTTACTGCCATCTGAAGGCCATCGGTGTACTCAATGCTCTGCCCATTCTGGGCCCCACTGTTCTTGGAATCCATGCAAATTCTTTGGAAATGAATGTCACAAAGACGCACGTCATGAGGCCACCACCGGATCTGGTTTGGGCATGACTTGGGCCCACTCCAATATATCAGCACAGAGGGACTCCACAGCATCTAACCGTTCAATCTGCACTAGTTTGGTGAGCAGTTCAGGAATACTGTAGCCTGCCGTGCTGATGCGGTCGAAGAGCTGCATGCCATCGGTCATGCCCCCAATCTCGTCACGCTTCAACCCAAAGCTCTCAGCAAGATGACGCCAAGTCTTCACAATGGCTTTTTCTGTGTTATACGTAGAGCTGAGCATCCTACTGGTCTTCTCCAAACAATCAAATGGTAGTTCTGTGGGACTGAGGCCTAAAAAAAAAGTTTAACATTGGATTACAAAGCCTGTTCACGTTAAAACTTGGAAAAGTTGCTTCTTTTAGACTACAACTTTGAATCCCTAGTCAGTATGCCCAGTGGCCATCCCACTCAGGGCAATGGGGGATTTGTAGCCGAAGGAAATAACATTTCTAAGCTATGCATTTTAAAGCAGTAGTACATCTTATTAATACAAGCTGTGTACATGTACTTCACTTTGCTAGTGTTGGACATATCATGTAATTAACCTTGTTACTCTAGCATATATATTTTCCCTCATGCTGATGATTCTTCCAGGATGTTTCATTTCCCCACTGTCCCTTTTACTTCACCTTGTAGTGGACGCAACAAAAAAGTAGCTCAGTTATTATTTTTTGCTTGGCCCCATGTAAAACCAAAATCTTCTTTCTTCTCTGACACATTTTCTTTAACCCAAAGCAAGAGACTGTGGTAGAGCTATTAATCGAGTCCTGCTCCCAGCCTTGACATGCTCTTTCCCATCCTCATCTTCCTGACACCTTTCCCGCTGGTGTAAGCTTACAGCCAGCCATCATAGGAGGCGAGGAAATTAAAGCAGAGGTGTATGCCCAAGGCAAGAGCTGCAAGCCTCCAACTCGAGTAAAGGCAAGAAGTCTCCATTCATGAGCACCAACAAAAAGAACCTTACCCTTTCTTTTTAAAGGAAATATTATTTTCACCTCAGGGGCAACACATATTTTAGGTAAGGGTGACATTCCTTTTGTGGGGCCTACTCGCTTTCCCCTCTTGTCTCAGGTTAAAAACAAACCTAGCTCTGAGAGACAGAATTCTTCAAAAGCTTCTTCTGAGGCAATTTTTAAAAACCAATGCACGAAATGGCTTATGGAGAGGAAAAGGCATATGCAGATATAGGTTGAAAGGTAAAATTAAGCAATCCATTCTTTACCTTCTGCCACAACCTATATGGAGTTATGCTATGTTTGTCCCTAAAGAGCACATGTAAAGGAAGAATGAAGAACAAATTCACATAGTGGGACTTTCTCCCCATCTCCGCTATATAATTGCCTTACTATGTCACCAGAATATAATCAATTCTTTCCAAAAAACACACCTTTCCCCCCCAAATCTCCCCTTAAAGGTAGATTTATCTGTTGGTTGTGACACAGATAATGGGATTATAAATTAATGTTTTATTTTTATGTATTTTATTTTTACCTACCTTCTGCAACACTGCATACATTAGCATACAGATCGAGAATCTTTTTCCTCCGGCTCTGTATCTAAAGAAAATAAAAGACAAAAACATTTATTTCTTAAAGAATGGACCTTCATACTTCTGCCAGAGATGTGTGAGGAGATAGAGGGAGATGGGTGACCGTGTGGTATTTTACTCCTAGAGAAGTAGCTAAACATTTTGTTGACTTTTGGTACATTGTGCTGCGTCCTATGAATCTCTGCTGTGGTGGTGTTTAAAGGCACATATGTATTTAGCTTTTACAGCCATGAAGACAGGCTTGGTGTTTTTTTTTCCAAGTATAGACATTGTCAGACAAAATATACAGAGTAGCTGAATACAATTATCCCTGGTCAAGAAAGGAGTTCAGTGCCGTACATAATTTGCTTCTTTAAATCATACATAGTAAGAGAATAAGTTATACATGACAAGTTTAAGAAACCTAGTCTGCAGAATATAAGTGGCCAAGCTACAGAATATTTCTTAGGAGCTAAACAGAGACATGTGTGAATGAAGCATACGGTGCTCATCCACAGAATCCAACCATTTTATTCCCCAATGCAGATATTTATGCGTTTTCCATAGGCTCTCTTGGCCTTCAAAATGCACCCTCACTCAGCTGCACTGAGGCAGAAAGGGCAGAAAAGGCCTATTTTGAAAAGAAAATTATCTTCACACAGTTCTCCATCCAATCCTATATATCTACTTTTGTTCAGAATCCAAACTCAGCTAGACTAATTTGAAACACATCATTTCAAGAGAGGCCAGGGAACGGACTACCAGGAGGTATCTGGGGAGCAATCACTTCTCTTTATACTGTTCATCCTCTTCTCAGCCCACATGATGGGCAGCATGAAGTAACTCTCACTGTGAACATTTAGAAGAGGGGCTGGGCAGCTCCAGTCACAGGCTTTGACACCAGAGCCACACCATGGTCAAAACCTGGTGGCAAAACATCTCAGCAGTAAACCTTAAAAACTCTTTAAAACAAGCAGAAATTATTTTATTTCAAAGCGTGTTTTCCCTGCCTTACTGCTGAATTTCAGCAGCAAACTACTGTACATATCCTCTTTTAAACCAAGCATGTCTCGCTTGTTTTGAAGGGCTTATCCTCAACTGCCATAAAAATGGCTAGATAAGGGAGGCTACATGCAACTGGTTTGCAGGTTTGTTATTTAAACTCCTTGACTGTAACATACTAGGATTGTACATACGTTATGTTACTGGATGAATGGCAAGGGGAGAGCAGGAACATTCCCATTGATAAGTCTTGGGGCATAATCTTGTCCATACCCACCCACACATAGTTGTGAGGTATATGTTCACTTCTCTCTTAGAGGGGAGACATATTGTTAGAAATTCAGAAAATAAATATGCAAAGCTCTCTGCCATGTCTGCTGTGTGCTTTTAGTGGGAGTCACAACTACCAAAAATGACAGCTTGTGAAGATATGATAAGCAAATTCCATTACAAAAGCTGAGAAATTGGAATTAAGGGTTCATGTTCTGCAGTACGGAAGCCACAGCAGGCTTAACAGTCTAAAGTAAACAAACAATTGCACAGCTGGATGTAAAATGGATATTGAAGTCTAGCTTTTTACAAAGAGTTCACATTTTTCTCATGCGAGAGCATCTTTGCTTGGGATTCTTGTGCATACATTTTGCTGTTTCGCTCATTGAACAGACATTGTCCAGAGCTGGCAAGAAAAATACATAAAACATGGCCATTGCACGGCTGAAGTCCAGGACAGTCTGGTCTGCAGGCCTGAAGCAGCTGTGGCAAATCAAGTAACTTCTACCTCTACCTTCTGAAAAGGCTTACAATCTGAGCATTAATGGCCTATCAGAAAGCCATTTTGCCATGCCTCATATCATTAGCACATCCAGCTGAAATGTCATAAAATTAGTTTCATAAATTGAATTGCTTTAGGCTCACTTCATTCAGAAAACAGGACTGAAGAAATATTATGCCCCCGCACCCATCCTCATCCTCATCCTCATCCCTGCCAACAGCAGCCTGGAGCAAGGAGTCCTGTTTGCAGCAATCTTACCATGAACCCATAGGCATCTCACATGCTAGATTAAACTGAGATTCAAACTACACAAGAAGCTGAGATCTTATTTAAATTTTAAATTATTGTAAATTTCAAAAAGGTAACATCCACACTTCTATTGCTGGATTTGCAGCCTTTCCTCTGAAAGAACCTTGTGTTTTTGATAGCTCCATAACTGGCAGTATTTAAGCAAGCGGTGCTCTCATCCATTCCCGGAGAACCTGCACATATTTAATTTTTTATATTATGCAAATATAATATTAAAGTATTTTACAGATAGCTGAGCAGAGGGAGGATGTCTAGCACAGTTACAGTGGGCGAAATATCAACTGATTCCTTCTCTTTAGGTAGCTCACTTCACACACACAAAAAGCTCTCTCTCTTTTAGTCAGGCCCATCATTCAAGCCAAAATGTATTGGAGTTTTGTTTGTTTGTTTTTCTTTTCACAATTAAAAAAGGTGAACCAAATAAAACTAGGCTGATTTTTAGAACTATCAGTATCCCTGGATTTGATTCAGAATCATTTCACATCTAAGGGCCAAACTATACATTGCACACAGCCCATCCATCAATTGCATTAGGGTTCTAGAAATTTGATTTGGGTTAGGGTATGAACTATGATACTTCCAAAGGAAGTGCTTACCTGCTAAAGGTCAATTATGAAAGAAAGTCAGCCAGTCTGCAAACTATTGGGTGAAAAGTGTGACATCCTTTCCTTATAAAAAGCTCTGACATTCAGATAGTTTTAGTACTTACGTACACAATCCATCTTCAAATGATTGGGGTTATCATTTGGCCTTGTGCCTATCCTAAAGTAAAAAGGCCAGAATCCTATGGTGTTCATGCAATGTTTGCTTAACTTACAGGTTAATCGAGGCTAATTTATGAGATACAAGGCACCTCTTAGTCATGTGCCTTGTCATAATATTGACTGCATAATTGAGATGCATGCCGGCTCCTCAGAAATTACTTGCAACAAGGTATGCAAACTTTATCTGAATACTAATAAGCTTCTGAGGAAAACATTGCATTTCTGAGCAAAAATGGTATTATTCATTTGTATTCAAATTGCACCTGTAGCTCTGAATGTTTTTCTGGGTCAAGCTCCTTTCAAAGCAATCTGTGGCTGATCATATTTATATTGCTTGCTTTGTTTTGGTTCTTCACCAAACTGTATCCAATTGACTTACATAAATTCTGAAATAAGCAAGTTGTTCCAGCCTTGTCCAATTTGACATTCATCCTGCTATTAAACACAGTTTGCTTTAATTTTCCTCCATTGTCTCAGCTAATTGTCACTGTCTTGGTATTTTGAGTTTCTCAAAACAAGTGTGGACCATAAAAGGAGTCTGGATGACCTTATTATGTGTCAGATCTATACTGGCTTACATGGGAATAAGTGCCATTGGACTGAGTGGTCCTTACTTCTGATTGTGTACATGTGTATAGGAATGTGTTGTTAATGGCCTTCTGCTAAACAGGTAGAATCACAGAGTTCTAGAAAAATAGTTAGCCAGACTAGGCAGAATTGCTTTCAGATACATGATTTGCTTCCAAAATCTACCCAAAACATTGCTGAAACAATATTCATTAATTAATTGAGAAACTGCAATGAAATTGGAGTGGAGGCGCCATTCCATTACTCCTGTGTCATTCCTCCCTCCACCCCACACACAGTGAGTCAGCCTTCCATGCCTACTGAGCATGCTCAGTCCTCACTGGGGTGTGTGTGTGTGTGTTCTATACCATATTTCTCTAAAGATTTGTATACCCTTGCAAGCTTTTGGGTCCCCTCCCCTCAAGGATGGTAACACCTTCCTCTTTTGTCAAAGCAATACTACTGTGGCTCCATTAGGTTTGAGCTCAGATAATTGTGGAAGCTACTAAAATGTATGATACATTAACACAGTCAGAAATCAAGCTTATTGTTTCATTTCTGAATGCTGTAATTCAATGGCATGAAAACTAGATACAGACTGCCTGGACGCTGTATGTGAAGCTGGAGTGTCCTCTCCAGAGCACGAAGCCTGGGTAAAATAATATGGAGGATAGGCTGTTACCCAAGCAGAAAATCCCCCCTCTCCACATCACTGCAGTAGTCCAATGGAAAGGCAAGAGCCAATACAACTGGTTCCAGCGACGTCATAGGAGTTGCCAGAGCGTGACTGTGCACAGTCACGAACTGCCTCCGGCTCTGGATTTTGCCTCAAGGTTAACTCCTGAAGCCTTTTCCATCGGTGGATATAGCCACAAGGTAGTGGAGGTTTGAAATCAGAGTTTTCCTTCTCCTAGATGGGCTGCCTTCCAAGGCTGACGAGCCCCACCTACTTGGACGGTGCCTATCTTGTCAATATATCCACCAACCACAGTTGAGATCCTTTTCTCCAATTGCCTTAAAGCCAAACTACATAAGGGTTGTATTGCCCTGTGGAGGGCAAACAATAGTTCAGAGTGGTTGAACCCTTTCTACCTGTTCCATGGACCTGATAAAAGCCACTCCCCACCTCCACCTGATATTGGCATTAATCACAGCTTCCCTCCTGCAGCAAATAGCTTCCAGGAGGGAAGAGAAAATTTCATTCAGACCCCGCACTTACGCCATGGATTGATAATATTTATATACTGTTTGTTCCAACCCTAGTCAGCTTCTATCAAAAGAACAATTCCCCACTGAAACATATACACAGAAGCTCATTGATCACATGCCCTTTTTAAAAATTCAGATGAGACTTACGCCAGTGGATTTGCTGTTTGCAGATGATTTATCTCGAGCCAAATGTACTAAAGACAACAAGCACAGCTCTGGAGTCCCTTGCTTGTCGATAGCAGCTTCTTCATCACTGTCCATACTACGGCTTAGAAGTCTCTCGTTCTCTGAAGAAGCATCATTTTCACTGCAGAGGAAAACATGTGTCTCTAAGATGGCAGCATGCATAATTCTGTCTTTTTCTTAAATTAGCTTACATTTAAAGTGTTTATTCAACATATGCACAATGTTAGGATAACTAAGCTGAGCCGTAAGTAAACATTGCTATAGAATTCATGAGGCAACAGGGCAGCTTGTAGGAAAATAAAGAATCTGCGCTTGTATGTTCAGTCACATCCTAGTTACTTGTAACTAGTTACCTTCAGACACCAAGAAATTGCTCATAATTGCAAAGTTACTTTTGGGTCTAACAAGCTGCATCACAGTTACTTAGGTGTAACAAGTAATACCTAGTAACTTTTTGAAGTTACTTCAAAATAGCATTTGAAGGTGCTTTTAGAACCATTTTTGCAGGAATTTTTCAGGTTTTATGCCACTGTCTCACGAACCCTAAGAAAAGTGTTGTCTTTTCTATTTTAGCAAATGTTTGTAAAGTTCAGCATACATAAGAACTGGCCACCAGAGAGTATTCTCCTACTAGTGAGAACAGTGGAATACATTAACATGTGACCCAACAAATTACTTGTCAATTTGGAGCAAATGCAGGAATACCTGGCAAGCTGGCTGTCCAGAAGTAACTAATGAATTCCTTTTGAAACGTAAAGCTTCAAGCTCCACTGCCAAATGAATGTGTTCAGGACTGCAGCCAGCCCATTTTCACTTTTCAAGATGGTTTATAAATATGCCCTAATCTATTCCATGACTGTCAACCATTAATTTCAATTGACCTTTTTTCCTTTCCACACATAGATTGATTCTCTTCAGTGATATTAATGGGGACTGATGTATCTGTGAAAAATTACTGTGTGCATCTGGACATTTGCTGTCTATAGATTTAACCCTTTCCTTTAAAAGAACAGTGTTTTCAATTTTGCTATGATATCGATTTCAGTTTTTTGTTTGTTTTTCGTTTTTATTACACCGGCCATCTAAACCTCCAACTGTAAACACACTTACTTTGGAGTATAGTTCCTGGGCCAAGTGTGAGTTACCTCTGAGTAAACATGCTTAGCAGTACACTCCGTATTCCACCCACCCACCTACCCAAGATATTTGTGGTTGTAGAACTGTTCTTCCATCACTATCAACATGTTTGCTTTTATGTGACATACCTCTTAACAACCTTAGCTGGAGTTGCTGTCAATTTTCCAAATTCCTCTTTTTCTGAGAAAATCATTACATTTTCTGCCAATGAATAAATAAATTAATTAATTAATTAATTAATAAAGCAAAACCAAAATTACCAGTGCAGATACAATTGCCTTTGAAAGACTGTTTCAGAACAAACCACCAACATCTTGCTGACTGGAACAAAGTAGTGGGGTTGTATAAATGCTTTTCCAATTATTCTTCTACTAAATGAAATTCGAGTTTAAATAGTTAAAAGAATAAATGTGCACAGGTCATTGCATCTGGCCAATGTAAACCCTGTGGGATCTGGTGTGTAAAAATCTGAAATTATAAAATGGTTCAAACCTTGCACTTCTTTTTTTTCTTCCTGCATATTGGCCTGGGATTCTACCGTCTTCACCGGATGGCTGGTGCAGCACGCTGGAATTTCAAAAGATGCCTTTTGTTAGTACAGTATTCCCTCTCACCATAGCATGCCGAAGCACAGCATTTCAAAAGTGGGATTCTCTTTACTAATTGGCAGTTACCTTGAGATGAAGTTTTGGTTTTGACAATGTAAAACATGATGATCAGAACGATAGCGATTGCCATTATAAAAATAGTTGACATGGCAATTATAAGAGCAGTGGCAAGATGGCCTTGTCCAGAAAGGTCTCCTGGAAACACAAAGAGAGATAACTAAGACAAAGACTGCAACCTGTGAAATACTCTTTAATTCATTCAATTCATTCATTCATTCATTTGTCTAATCTCCTTTCCACCCTTCCATATAAACTTTCATCTATTGATTACAAATAAAAATCACTGTGACATTTTAAAGACTAGCACAATTTATTTGGTGTACATTTTTGTGACCTATAGCCTGTTTCACCTGATCCAGGAAACTATGGGTGCAATCAGATGGATATTTGTCCCATAGTTTGGTTCAGGTTGGGGATGGGCTGTCTAATCTCCTTTCCACCCTTCCATATAAACTTTCATCTATTGATTACAAATAAAAATCACTGTGACATTTTAAAGACTAGCACAATTTATTTGGTGTACATTTTTGTGACCTATAGCCTGTTTCACCTGATCCAGGAAACTATGGGTGCAATCAGATGGATATTTGTCCCATAGTTTGGTTCAGGTTGGGGATGGGCTAATCTATTCCTATTTCTGATGACCACATGACATATAGGCCATTGTGAACCATTCCATGTCTGACTGATGCCTACCAGCACATTTTGGATCCCTGCCAGTGACTATTGGTTTTGGGGTGTGTGAGTTTTTATTTGTTTGTTTGTTTTTGGTTGTTGTTGTTCAGGTAGGAGCACTTGATTTTTGTTCAGTTCCAGTATGTGTGATCACAGGGATCAAACCAAAGCAAATAGCTTAAGCTGCCCCTTTGCTTAAGCCACTTAACAATCTTGAGAAATGGAAAGCTTCCTTCCTACTTGCCTGTGGAGGAGAAGGGAGAGGAAGTTTTTCATTTCTTTTCAACTGTTTCCCATTTCTTTTCATCTGTTGCTAACATAACAATTGTGAATGCAAGGGTCGCCCCAAATGACATACCATATCTCAAAGCATGATCTCTAGACCAATCCAGGCCAGGATAATTGAGCAGTCTCGTTGCATGCTATAGTCCATGAAAGTATATGACAAATACATGGAAATTAGGCCACCATACAGTTGTAATGGTGGGAGAGGATGGAAATTATCTATTTCTTTGTTCCAAGCCTAAGCAGATATTTCATAATGCACAAGGAATTCCCAAACAGAAAAAATTTGAGGGGATGGTACTGATGGCCCATCTTAAAAACCTGGATTGGGTATATCTCGAAATTGATTTTCCCAGAGCTCAAATCAGTCCCACTATTAGTTACCTTTTATCAGAGCTGATCATAAGCATTTGGAAGGTTTTTCTACTGTGTTATTTTTAAAGCTTACTATTAAATCCTTTCCCTCTGGCTATAAAGCAAAGGGGTGAGCAGATGAGCATATAGATTGTATTTGATTCATGTTTGGTTTGGTTTGGTTTGCACTATTTTCTGGTGACTACATGTGTTTTAAGTAAGTGTGATTCACCTATTCTGGTGACTACATGTGTTTTAAGTAAGTGTGATTCACCTTGCCCCATTTGCAAGATGTTCCATTCCTTTCTCGCATAGCACTAGCGCTGCAGTTTATTTGGTGCGATTGGGAGTGCTTCTATTCATCCCATTCTGTAGTCTGTGTGGTTACTTAATTGCCTTTTAAGCCTAAAAGTCCTGGACAGGTGAAGGAATTATACGTTCTTCATTTTCTTGGTCATTCACTGAGTCTTCTGAGTGTCCCCTTGATGTATTCTCGAAGGCTTCCACAGCTGGGATCCAATGATTGTTGTAGGTTTTTCAGGCTCTTTGGCCGTGTTCTGGAGGTTTTTCTTCCTAACGTTTCGCCAGTCTCTGTGGCAGGCATCATCAGAGGACAGGAGTTAGAACTCTGTCTGTGTTCTGATGTAGTGTGTGGGATACTAGTACAACCATTGTCCCCTTGATCCTGTGTACCTAAGGTCAACCACAAATCTGGACATTGCTATTTACTAAAACACACACACATATTCTCTGAAATTAATGTCCTTACCTTTGTGCACATGCTGGAAAGGAGAATGGGTACTTGTTCCAGAAGTACTTGAGAAACTAGCTGACACACCAGAGGTCATGCCTGCACCTGTAATAATAAATAAATTCACCATTGATTTTCCTAATTACATTGTAAAATATCAGCCATGAACTGACCCATTTTTGAATTGACAGAGCAGTGACTGACTAAGCTACCTTGAAATTCCTGCCTGTTTTAAAATTGACTTTGCCAGATAAATGTCAATCAATGTATTCGCAAAGGCTTTCACGGCTGGGATCTAATGGTTGTTGTGGGTTTTTCGGGCTCTTTGGCCGTCTTCTGTCCTCTGAAGATGTTGGCCACAGAGACTGGCAAAACATTAGGAAGAACAACCTTCAGAACACGGCCAAAGAGCCCGAAAAACCCACAACAACCAAATGTCAACCAGTTTGTAAACTTACAATGCTGACCCGTGAATGACATTTTGGGACCATTTTGGGACACATGTTAGTTTCTCAACCTAAAGTTTTGCTGCCTTTGATTTGAATGTAAAAGAGACAAAACTAACATTGAAATTTGTGTTTCTTTTTTAAAAGCAGTTAAACCATTTATGGGTCTTGAAAACTGCCAGGTAAACCTTTACAGTATTTGATTCCTCCCTCACCACATGCTTTAATTATAATTTATTTCCTGAGAGGCAAAGGTGAATAAGATGTCCTAGGAAAGATACTAGATATTGTCTTGACTGAGATTCATATTATTGTAGCATTTCCGGTACAATTCCAGTCACTGTGGAGTACGTTTCCAATTAGAATCCTTATGATAGCCTTGACAAACACAGGAAATATAAATCAGAGAGGAATCTCAGACTGACATGAAGACATGTGCTGCAGGGCAATAGGACTTCATTTTGAGTCTCCTGATCTGCAGAGCTTCCCTATTTCACTGGAATAGATTTCCTGCACTTCGCATTCTGACAAGGGAAGGAAAAGCAAGCATTCGTGCCCATGCGAACACATAACCAGGTATTCCAAACTGGGACGTTAAAACACAGATTTCTTCAGAGCTTGAGTGAGTGCCTTGGTTTAGTTATCTTGAGAGCAATGTTAAAAGGAGATGAAATATGCTACTTAGAGGCCCAGCTAAATGGAAAAGGGAAAGACTGTTTAGAATTGCACATATGAGGCAAATTATTGATTATTATTACCAACATTTTAAGATCTTGAATTCCAAGCAAAATAATAGTGTGAGGGGGCATGTCGGCTTGGGGAATTTATATGGATAAATTAATGGCACAATGAAAAAATGACTGATGTTCTGCAGTTCCAGGAAATATAAAATTTTCTTGGACTAGCTCCATCAGACAAATCTGACAGGAAATTAAGTTCTCTAGTAGTGCATGAAACTGTCTCACAGCTTATGAAGTACAGAAATGTGCATGCTTCAAATGAAAGGTATTTTTAATAAAATAAAAACTGTTACACAACATAAAATACTTCGGACAATGACAAAGACAAATATAAATACAGTACACACTTTAAACTTGGCCAACAACGCATACAATTCAGTGAGTTCAAATGAGTTTTCCTACAACAGCCAAACAGACCTTCTCAGCACTGCTAGTTATTAAAAATAATATATGTCCCTGATCATATAAATTCTCATTTGAAATCCAAATAGTAATTTTTACAATGTGTTTAATAAACTAGTTTGTTTAACTAGTCCCTTTCAATAATGTATATATACATTCTGCATAAATTGATTTTAAGCTATGCTCTTGAGAGAAAAAGTAAGGGCCATACCAATAGTTCAAGATTCTGATAGCTCAAGATACCCATTGGGGTGAATGAACCTCAGCAAGCAAACTGAAGGCCTGGTTTTGGATATTCTGGTTTGCCTCACTAGAGACGGGCACAAAATGAACCATGAAGCAAACCCCCACCCCCGCTGCACAAATCAGGCCATTTTGTGGTTCATTTTCAGGACACACCTGCCGAGAATGAAATGAAACACCAAACTTTTATTGGCATCAGTGATTCATTCACTTTGGTTTGGGGCTTGTTGTTTCTGGCCAGACAACCTGGTGCCACTCAACGAATTCCCTAGGCAATGCTGGAATGGACCTAGACCAGTGGTCAGGGAACAGGGGGTAATTACCCCAAATGGGGTAAAAATGAAAATCCTGGGGGTAATGAGGATGGTCGCAGTAGGCATTTTATCCCCAGGCATTTTATTTTCGACAATGCTGTGTGTAGGTGGGCGTTCCATCGCCGTGAGAGCGAGCCCTGGCGAGGAACTGCACAGGGCACCCGCCTGCCCTCCTTGCCTCCAAAGTGTGGGGGGGGAGGGGGCATACCAGGCCAGCTGGACTCTTTGCCCTGTCCGGGGCTCTCCTTCCTGCCTGCACCCACCCACCCGGTGCGCTGGCAAGGGGGCCCCTTCCCCTTCCTGCCTCACCTGAGCTCATGGCCAGTGGACCTGCTGGCCCTGCGGCACCCGCCTCCCCTCACCAAGGAAGCCCCCAGAAAAGTTTGTGCAGGACTGATTGTCAAGTCGGGCAGCCAACCATGGTGCTCCAAGACTGCTCTCTGGAAACAGCTAATTACAGAAGCTGCACCCTGGGTAGCTCAGCTGGTGGTTTCCCCTCTGCAGCAGCCAGCATGAGAGGAAGACCTCTAGCTAATCTCTGCTTCCATCCTCTTCCCACATCTGCCCCCTTTCTATTCACTTCCCAGTCCACCTCGTCTCACGTTCAGTCACATGAGACGTTCAGTCGCCTGAACCACTCATTTAATTTTCCCCAAGCCTGCTGATAAATAGCACTTTCTTGGGGGGGGGGGCAGTAAAATGGAGACATCCCAAATCCAATCTTCACCAAACTTGGAGGGGATGGGGAGGAGAGTCATCCATCGTTTCACTGCTCCTGCCCAAAGTGCCAGTTGGATGCAAATCTTGCTTGCTGTGTATTTAGGTTCTCTATCTCACAAAGGCCATTCTACTACTCCCAGAAGTCCCAAATCACACAAACCATGAAATGGTTCATTTTGTTGGGAAATCACACAAACCATGAAATGGTTCATTTTGCTGGGAACATTTGTGAAAGTTCACAGTTTATGAATAGTAACAAGCCATGAACTGTCACAAAGTACCATTTTCCCAGTTCTTGCGCCAATCTTCATTTGTGAAAGTTCACGGTTCATGAATAGTAAGTAACAAGCCATGAACTGTCACGAAGTACCATTTCCCCAGTTCTTGCGCCAATCTCTGTCCCTCACTGGAAAAGCTCTCATCCATCATCCTCCCATTTTTCTTTCATAAGTTAACAGCTACAGTACATTCAAAAGATGATTTCAGGATGTTTTTTCTTCAGGAAATCCTTACTCCTGTTTCTTCATTCAGTGCTCTTGTTCAGCTTGTACTGATTGCATTTCTAAACTCTTTTTCACACATGTGCCAGGCCTTACTATAGCTGGATATTTTGTTCACTTCTCTGCATTTAAGCAATTTTACAAATACACAGGTATACCTAAATACTTGGCTTAGCAGCAATAAATGTAAAAGGGATCTCATTATTACAGTCAATCAGAACCTGAGCATCAGTGAGCCGTGCAATACAGCTGCAAAAAGGACTAAGAGAATTTTAGGGTGCATTAACAGAATCGTTGGGTCAGGTCCAAATCAGTTTGCACTTGCTTATAAAAGAGTTCGTTTTAAAGGATATGTTTTGCCACATGAACCGTATTTAATGTATTGTGGTGTTGGAATTGCAAACAATTTTTGAGAGCCAGGAATATTTCAAACGAGCCTGCAGGAAGTGGTTTTCAAAAGAGAAAAAAGAAAATAGCTCCATGTTTGAACAGTCTCCTAGTGTCCAAGCCATTTTCTTTGTGAATATGTTTACATTCTCTATGTAGGGTCAATAGAGACACACAGTGACAGAGTCTGGCAGAGACATAAGCATATCAATCCAACAAGGATGGTCTGTGCATAGAGGCCTACACATAGATTGCCATGTGGATCAGATCTTACATGGGGAAAAACATTTGAACTCTGAGGCTTTGAAGAATGAATCTACACGCAGCAACTGCAATGATCTACGCTGATTTATGTGAGCATGTCCATTCTGTGTTAGCAGAAGGTTGGTGTATCTTGCTATGAGAGCCTGGATCCAGGTTCATCTCTACTACATGGCCCAACAGGTTCATGTCAGATGACTTTCCAAGGTCTAAGATGGGAGTGGAGGAAACTTTGGTTTCCTAGACATGTTGGACCAGAGATCCATAACCCCATACTCTTAGACATGGCAGTGAATGGGTGATGGGAATTGTAGGCCCAAACCACCTATTTGGTGGATATCTGCAAAACTACCACCAGGAATTGGACCTTACCAGTGGTGGCCACAACGCTATGGAATGCATTGCTTGAGGCTCCCTGCCTTCCGGTTTTTAGGAAACAGGTAAAAACTGTATCGTTTGAAGAAGCCTTCGGAAATGTCCTATCCCTCTGACATCCTCATGGATCCATGAATTTGATCTTGATCTTGATTCACTGTTGCCTCTAGGTTTATTTCATATTTTGGGGTATTACTGTTATGGTTTTGGATATCATTATTTATGTCCTTGTGGGCTGGGATAGGTAATTCTGTTTTTTAATTGCTGTTAGCCACCCAGAGTTGTGTCTGGTCACCAGATAGGTGGAACAGAAATGTAATAAATAAATGAAAAAGAGATTTGTGCTCAGCCTTGTCCATTCTGTGCTATAATGCACAGAGTATTGGTTTGTGTTCTAATGCCATATTTTCCCATTGTTGCTTATTTCCTCAATTAGTGACAAATTAACTAACTTGTTTGTTTATTTCTCACGCTTAATATGCTGGGGAAAATAGGTGAAATCTTAAAAGCACTGCTCAAAGAAATATGTGCAAACTGAAGTCATCTTGGACTATCTCTATCTCTATGTTGTTAACATTGTTTTAATTTTTGTTATATTCTCGAACTGTAAGCCAGCAAGAGTAGATCCACAAGCACAAGCACAGTTTCAACAAAAAAGAGGAAAGTGTGAAGCTCAACAAAACTTGGCTCCCAGCTCTCAATAATACAGCGTGCAAAAGGTCAATGAACTCTATCCAGCCACAAGGACAGGGGATCACTACACACAAAAGACCAGCTAACGACACCCATCAAGCACAGGAACAGTAATCTCTTCTCCTTAGCACAGCAATACACCCACAACCATACACGCTAATCATCCATCTACAGAAAAAGACAAAAGCCGATCTCACAGCCATAAATAGTGCACTCCCAAGCCAACTACACCAGAGCATAGAGTGCTAGCCTCTGAAGATGCCTGCCACAGAGACTGGCGAAATGTTAGGAAGAACAACCTTCAGAACACAGCCAAAGAGCCCGAAAAACCCACAGCAACCATTAGATCCCAGCCGTGAAAGCCTTCGCGAATATAAAGAGTAGATTCGTTGACTCTAGATCAGTGGGGTAAAACCCGGAAAAATAAATAAAATAAATAAATATATTTTCCAATCCGATCCCGGCCGTGAAAGCCTTCGCAAATGTAAAGAGTAGATTCCTTGACTCTAGACCAGTGGGGTAAAACCCGGAAAAATAAATTAAATAAATAAATATATTTTCCAATCCACTTCCATGAATAGCTAAATAATCCTTTTGAGGGTTTTTGCTGAGTGACAGAACATTGAGCATTGAGCAGCAGGTTGGACTTGATGGCTGTAAAGGCCCTTCCAACTCCATTATTCTATGATTCTATGAACATCCTACCCTTTCCATTGGTCTATGATGCTCACTATTTGATGGTGCAGGCATGCTGATAAACTCTTTTGCCTATTATGGGGCCTCTCATCTCATCTATTTCACTGTCTACTACTCTCATGCAGTTGCTCACAATCCACTGGAAAAAGTGACCTAAGATGCCACACCACTATTAGGTGTTCCAGCAGCAAACAGTCCCTCTCCCAATTACTTTCCATTTTGGGCAAACTGTGGGTTGCATCCTCTTCTTCTAGATTACCCCACAAGCTGTAGCTTGTCTCAGGCGGGCTACATTATATCATGCATGCCTTGCTCTATCCAGCTGAACTCAAGCATATATTAAGTGAAACAGCTCTGCTTTGCTCAATTAACCATCATTCACTGATACATTTATAGACATACATACAATAATTCAGGTATCTGGAATATAGGTTATTAGAGGAAAAATGCATTGGAGATTAATCTTTGTAGGGTTACAGGACTTCCTTATAACTAGAAGCAGAACAGGGGGTCTTTCCATCTTGAGAGGCAGTGACTTTCCAGGGCATAAGGCAGGGGTATTTTCCCTATGTATTTTTCTTTGTCCTCACTGAAAGGTAAACAGGGGCTTACTTTACAAGCCTCACTGCTGAAGAAATTCCATTTTGAGAACAGAAGAAATATTGGTTAATCTGTAGGAAGACACTTTTTAAATCCAAATATTTTTTTCTAATTCAGGTGCAGTGGATTTTTTTTTAAATCAAGATTTATGGAGAGAAGCTGGAAGACTTTTTGCTACAGGTGGAAATTCCTGTATTTTGGCCTGTTAAACTGGATGACTGAAATGCAAAGATACAAATATGAGTTTGGCACTTCACCATCTGTACAGTATAATGCAACAGGAATCTGGTGGGGGGTAGGAAGCTGCTGTCAGTACTACTGCTGAGGCTCCTGTCAGCATTTCCATTAAATGCATGGCCTCTCAAGATCCAATTTTTGGCCTTCAATGTTTTTTAGGGGATCAGATTCCATTTACTGTGATCCCTTCCCTTAGTACTACATGCCAAAAGTAAATGGCTTAAAGGGGTTTAAATGTCCGTTGTCCACTTTAGCAGTAGCTCTTAGCCCTCTACCAGCTTTAAATGTCCTGAACTATAAAAGCTGAACTATAAAAGCCATGGTAAACAGAATGGAATGGATACATAGATTCCGCCCCGCCCCCTCAAAAGTGCTTTAGTTTTTGGCAAATGTAATTATCTTTTAAGTCTAAATGTGATAGTCCCAAAGAGAGGAGACCCATTGAACTGATCTGTGGACTGATTGAGACTAATCTAGTGAAACTAACCATTAGCTTTAGGCCAATGCCTCTTGTCCTGTCTTGTTACAATTCTGCATTTATCTTTTTATAGGATTTTGTGCACCACTCTGAGGTGAAAGGTGGGTTATACATTTTAAAACTCAACAGCCATAAGGGAACATGTAGATTAAGAAAAATGTGCAAAATGCCCCTGCATTAAGAAAAGGGTGTACCAAAATAGACATGAATTCCTGAGCAGAAATTTAAAAATGACTGCCATTTTGATGGGACACGAATGCTGGTGGGATTCTGGGAAATGGGGGGGGGAACAAAACAAAACTGGTGTTTGTTTTTATAACATGCCAAGCCAACTGCATTTCACGTTTTCAAGTGGGTGACTTCTGTATAGGTTACAGGTCCAAGATCTGACATTGTCTTCTGACACAGCGGGCTTAAAAGCTCTGGGGGCAGGATTTTGCAGTTTCTACGTTAGAATAAAAGTGAATGCTAGGCAAATGGAGAGTACTTACATTCTTTGGTGTTGGGAGGGGCCAAAGCGCACGAGTAACAAACCATTCCATAGATGTTCCGTGGCCTGTTTTCTAACATGTAGTAACTGCAATGAAAAGACAAGCCGAAGCAAAGACTAACTTCAGTTGTTGTCATTAAATGTGATTGAAAAGTAAAAACCAATTCTTGTTGTTAATTTAGACTTTAAAAAAAAACAGGTTTTGAACTTTAATCTGATTTTAGCAAGTGGTGAAAAGTAGCCCTAAGGCCACAAAAGTCCAGCTTTTCGACTTTACAACCTAACATGTGGAGAAGGAATCACATGTGGTGTTCCTGCTCCAACTCCATGAATTTAGATCTTAATTAGAGTTTGGAGTAGAATTTGTTGTAAAAAGAACTCACTGGGTTATTAATTATTTCTTAATAGCCAGGTTGTCGTCGTCATCATTGCTCCAGTCATGCACGTAACTGGTTGCACCATGTAATACACTTTCTTGTTATAAGTTCAACCCTCAAAACACAATGAAATACTCTGTGTTTCGCTCTAATGGCCAATTCTGATATCATAACTCATGAATATTTACAGAAATATGAAGGCCAAAACCAAAGAATACCTTTCTTGCCATTTAGGGTAGATAAAGAGAATGGCAAACAGCCTGGAAAGATTTCTGGCAAAGCATTTCTAAAAATGCCTTCAATGTACTTTAAAATCCCCACCCCCACTTTAAGGTACCCATAGCTTTTCCAATGGCCAAAGGGGGCCCTAGGGATTCTTGGAAATGGGGGAGGGGGATAGGAAGCTTTAAATAAATTTAAAGTAATTATTTCCAGTGCCCTGATCCATTTTACATGGGTGCAAAGCTGTGCAATAGGATTTTGCCCAATGTTTTAAAACTTCGAATGTTAGCATGGGGGAGTCAATGGGTTGGATCCAGACTCAAAATGCAGTTCTAATTCCCTCTGACATCCATCAGGATGTGTAGGTAGCAAATCTTAAGTCTATAAAATTTTCACACTGATTTCCCTTGACTTAGTCTAGATCCAAGCCATTATCTTACTTTAAAAATAGATGTGTTTTGACTATACTGTACTGTATTGAAGAAGCAACAGTAAGTTTAACCGATTTAGTGCATTATTTAATGTCACTGTAGAGAAAGATCTGGCAATTTAATTGAGTTTTCTGTAGAAAATGATGAAGGACCATATTCTGGTCATGTTGATTTTCCAGCTAATCAGGGCGATTTTCCAGGGGGGGTGAATAAAAATATTTATTTCATGTGCAAATAATGTCTACCGGCTGTGAAAGCCTTCGCGAATACAACAGTAAGTTTAACCGATTTAGAGCATTATTTAATGTCACTGTAGATAAAGATCTGGCAATTTAACTGAGTTTCCTGTAGAAAATGATGAAGGGCCATATTCTGGCCATGTTGATTTTCCAGCTAATCAGGGCAATTTTCCGGGGGGGGGGGGGCGAATAAAAATA